GAACTATGGGTGGCTGGTGGTGCACACCTTAATCCCAGCACTTGGGAGGCAGGGGCAGGTGGATCTGTGAGTTCCAGGCCAGCCTGGTCTACAGAGTGAGTTCCAGAACACTTAGGGCTACACAGAGAAACCCTGTCTCAAAAAACCAAACCAAACAAACAAAAACAAAACAAAAAACAACAAACCCCAAACCAAACTAGACCAAAACAAAAAACTATGTCCTGAGGGCTGGGTTCTGGTTATTGGTAGAGCCCTTGACTATCACAGTCCCCACCATTTTTTTTTTTTTTTTTTTTGTGTGTGTGTGTGTGTGTGTGTGTGTGTGTGTGTGTGTGTGTGTATGTGTGTGTGTGTGTGTGTGTAGACCAGAGGAGGACATTAGGTATACTACTCTATCACTTTGGACCTTATTCTGTCAGGATGGGGTCTCTCACTGAACTGGCTGACATCCAGCAAGCTCAAGGGTCTTCCTGTCTCTTCCCACCCAACACTGGGGTGAGAGGTGTGTGTGGCCAGGCCTAGTGTTTTATATGGGTGCTAGCGATTTGAAGCAGACCCCACGCTTGTGCAGCAAGTGGGCTGTGCTGTCTCCCCAGCCCACTTGCTTGATTTGGAGGGGTGTTAGTAGCTGGGTGGTGGTGGTGCACGCCTTTAATCCCAGCTGAGCCAGGTGGCAGCTCTCTGTGAGTTCGAGGCCGGCCTGGTCTACAGAGTGAGATCAAAAAAAAAAAAAAAAAAAAAAAGATTTTCATATTCGAAAGTAAGAGGAAGACTTTTTTTTAGGAAAAAGAAAATAAGATGCACCCTGGGTATATAGGGTTCGTCGAAGAGTTACAGAAAGTAGGGAGCCTCAAGAGAGAGAGGCTTTTTGTTGTTCTTGTTAGTATGCTCGGGGCTTTATATTTGATCCCTTGCATAGAGATGTAGAGGGAGAGAATGAAAATTGTGTGTGTGTGTGTGTGTGTGTGTGTGTGTGTGTGTGTGTGTGTGTAGAACAAACAACTATATCCTGTGAAATTATCTAGGTTTTTTTCTCTCCCTTTCTCTGATTGAAAAGGGAACTTTACTCTGTCGCCCTTTACCCATGAGTGGGCCAAGAAAGGACGGCGGTAGGGAGGGTCGTCGTGACAGTGATGTTCAGACGCTCGTGGAGGCCTGCCTTAGGGCCTCTTCATGCCGGTGGAGCACACATCCCGGCTCATGGAAGACGTCTTTTTGTTGTTTTTATTTTTTTGAAATAGAGTTTCTCTGTGTAGCCCTGGCTGTCCTGGAACTCACTCTGTAGACCAGGCTGGCCTCAGACTCTCAGAGATCTGCCTGCCTCTGCCTCCCGAGTGATGGGATTAAAGGTGTGCACCACCACTACCCAGTCATAAGATGTAAGACATTTTATCTTGGGGCTGGAGGAATGGCTCTGTGGGTTAGAGCACTTTCTGCTTTTGCAGAGGACCCAGGTTTGATTCTCAGCACACACGTGCAGCTCACAATTGTCTGTAACTCCAGTCCCAGAGAATCCAGTGCCATCTTCTGGCCTCCTTGGACACCAGGCATACACATGGTACACATACATAGACAGAGAGAGAGAGAGAGAGAGAGAGAGAGAGAGAGAGAGAGAGAGAGAGAGCCCTGAGGTCAGTGGTGCAAAGGTTAAACAGCCTCTCAGGGTTTGAGCAAAGTGAAAACAGGAAACTTTCGAGGAATGTCCCTGGAGGTGCCTGGAGTCTCTGAGACTGAGTGGGATTGAGGGATCGAGGCTGTGGTAGACGTAGAAGCCAGGTTCGTGGCAGAGCAGTGCTTTGTAATATGAGAGCATTCCAGAAGACAGCTAGAAGAAGGTTCTGGACCAGGATGTCCAGAACGGTGGGGGGAACTGTGTGACACACACAAGCCTCTGTGATGGCTCACGACCCTCACAGGGTGCAGGGCAGTCTCCTGAAGGCCCCAGATGCTGCAGGGCCCCAAGGCAGGTGAAGGCCAGCGCAGGAGTGGGAAAAGCAGGCCGGTAAAGGTCTGTCAAGCTCCTGGGGAGCTGTAGGTAACTGGCAAACCTTCTCCTGGCCTTGTCTCCTGAGTGCTGAGTTTATTGGCATGCAATACCCACCCGGAGTTCCAGCTGACTCGCAGTTAGACTTGGTGGTTGCTAAGGACTCTGCCCCCTGAAAGTACGGTCTGCATATGCCTGATCGTCTTATCTCAACTTGACACAAGCTGGAGTCATCAGAGGAGGGAGCCTCAACCGAAAAAATGCCTCCGTAATATTGGGCGTTTAATCCCAGCACTCCGGAGGTAGAAGCAGGTAGATCTCTGTGAACTCGAGGTCAGCCTAGTCTACAGAGCAAGTTCCAGGGCAGCCAGAGCTGTTATACAAAGAAAAACAAAACAACAACCAAAAAAAAAAAAAAAGAAAGAAAGAAAGAAAGAAAGGGGGAAAAAAAGGGTTGTACGCAAGCCTGTAGGGCATTTTCTTAATTAGTGATTGATGGGGGACAGTCTAGTCCATTGTGGGTGCTGCCATCCCTGGGCAGGTGGTCCTGGGTTCTATAAGAAAGCAGTCTGAGCCGGGCGGTGGTGGCGCACGCCTTTAATCCCAGCACTCGGGAGGCAGAGGCAGGCGGATCTCTGTGAGTTCGAGGCCAGCCTGGTCTCCAAAGCGAGTTCCAGGAAAGGCACAAAGCTACACAGAGAAACCCTGTTTCGAAAAACCAAAAAAAAAAAAAAAAAAAAAAAAGAAAGAAAGAAAGAAAGCAGTCTGAGCAAGCCATGATGAGCAAGCCAGTAAGCAGCACCCCTCCATGGCCTCTGCATCGGCTCCTGCCTCCAGGTTCCTGCCCTGCTTGAGTTCCTGTCCTGACTTCCTTTGATGATGAACTGTGATGTGGAAATGTAAGCTGAATAAACCATTTCCTCCCCAAGTTTCTTTGGTCATGGTGTTTCATCACAGCAGTAGTGACCCTAAGACACTGTGATTCAAAAGAGCGATGGGTTTCTCCACTGGGAGCTGGCTTGATAGTCCTGGTTTATATCTGGATAATGGAGCTCTATGTTGTCATTTTATAGATTCTTAGAATCCTCTTCAGCAGGCTGGGTGTGGTGGCACACACCTTTGATCCCAGCACTTGGGAGGCAGAGGCCGGTGGATCTCTGTGAATTTGAGGCCAGCCTGGTCTACATAGTTCTAGGACAGCCAGGTTTACATAGACAGTCCTTATCTCAAAAACAAAGAAAGAAAGAATCCTCTTTCCCGTGAGACAAGGGATCTGTCTGCCAGCTTCTAGACCAAACCTTCCGATCATTTGATGCAGTACTTTCCCCAAAGCAGCTATAGCTCATGGTGGAACATTTGTCTAACTTACACGAGGTCATGGGTTCAAACCTTAGAGGGGCAAAAAAAAAAAAAGAAAAAGAAAGAAAAATGAAGAAGAAGAAAGGTGAGATAAAGAGGTGGAAGCCAGGCTTGGTGGCTCGTACTTTACTCTTAGCACTCAGGAGGACTGCTGTGAGTTTAAGGACAGCCTGGGCTACACACTAAGTTTGCGGCCTGCCTGCGCTACATAGCAAGACCCTGTCTCAGGAAAGCAAAAACAGAGGGTCATTGAACTGGTTCAGTAAAGGTACCTGCTGCCAAACCCAACGACCCAAGTTCCACCTCAAGGATCCGTGGTGGCAGAAGAGAACTGACTCCCAGAAGTTGTTTTCTGGTCTCTAAACATGCTCTGTGGCGGACATGTGCCCCTGCCAATAAATTAAACACACACACAAACACACATGCACACATGCCTAGGGTTCCATGACCTAACGAGTTGGAGAATAGGTAGGTTAAACACTGTTAACGGTTGTTTTGTTTTTAAAATGTAATGTTGTGTTTTTTAAAGATTTATTCATTTTTATGTGTATGAGTGCTTTGCCTGCGTGTATGTATGTGCACCAAGGGTGTGCCTGGTGCCTGTGGCAGCCAGAAGAGGATGGGTTCCACATGGGCCTTGAGGAGCCCCCAATCTTCTGCTGACCTGGTCTGAGGGCCAGCGATGGGCGGACATGTCATAGCTGTGGACTCACAGTTCCAGAGTTGGTTTTCTTTCTTTTTTATAGAGGAGCCTTTATTTAGTTATTTTATTACATGTATTTATTTGTGTGCGTGCATGCGCACATGTGTGTGGGCATGTATGCTACGGCGTGTATGTGGAGGTCAGAGGACACTGACTGGAGTCAGGTCTCTCCTTTCTGCGCGTGGTTCTCAGAGACTGAACTCTGGCTGCTATGTTTGGCAGCAAGTGAGCCATGCCACCATCAGAGTCCCCTTAGCTGGCCTCAGATCAGGACGGAGGTAAGTTGACGAGGAATTTCCCATGTCTCACTGGGGTGGGAAGGCTGCCGCTAGGTGTTCAACATCCCACTTTCCATGCCAGTCCCCTCTACCTGCAGCCCTGCCCTGCCTGTCACCGCCCTGCCATCTTTCTCCTTCATCCCTCCTTTGGGTTCCTTCTGCCTCCTCTGTGTTCTCTCTGCCCCCAGCCTGGCAGCCTGCCCTGTAGGAATGTTAATTAGCATTCACGATTTAATTAATTCAGTAGCTAATTAATGATTGGGGACTGGGGGTGGGGAGCTAGGATGCTGGGGGGTTGTGAGCCGAAGGTGGCAGAGAGAAGTAGCCGAGGCTGCAGAAGGCATCGCAGATGGCAGTGTGGTGGCTGGCACAGTGCCCACTGCCATGGATGCGAGCACACTTGCACGCACGCACACGTACACACACAAAACCGGAAAGGGTGATCGAGGAATAGAATCAAAAGCCGGGAGAGAAGGGCACGGGGGCCCTGGAAACCAGGGCTGGGGGGCTGGGGGTGGGGAAGACTCTAGGTCTATTTGAATCTACTCCGGAAGTAGAAGAGTAGGGAAAAAAGAAGCAACCACGGGCGCAGAGAGAAGAGAGCTCTCCCGGTACCCCACCCCACCCCCACCCCACCCCAGCCACCCCTCCTCCTTGGCATCGGATTCATGGGCACCAGCTGAGGACAGGGTCCCCTCCCTTTGCCTGCCACATAAATATTGGCAACGAGGACCCAGACTCTGAAGGACAGGACATTCCAAAGAAAATAGTTTTCATTTTAAGTTGCCTTTAAATGTATATATATATATATGTGTGTGTGTGTGTGTGTGTGTGCATATATATACACATAACATATAATGTTTATTATATATATTGAAATTGCACCTGTTTTGGCATGAGGGTGAAGGCGAGTGAAAGAAGGTGACCGAGCCAGGAGGCGAGAGCGCACGGATGGCTTGGTGGTGGTATGGTGTGGTGAGTTGTGGGGAGGAAGAAGGGGGGTGGCATAGAGGTTGGGATGGGTGGGATGAGGACCCTGTCTTCCTCTTTTCATTTTACTATGGTTGAAGGAGAAAGAGAAAGGGAAAGAGAAAGGGGTGGGGAGAGGAGCGAGACAGATGGCAGAGTGGAGAGGCGGCAGCCAGTGCCGGCACTGCCCAGCTTGGGCGGACCCAGCTCCCCCCGCCTGCCAGCTCTCCAAATGCCACCCTTCCCCCATCCTCCCCTCTCCCCATCCCCCCAGCTTGGCACTGATCTCAGGGAGAGAGAGGGAGGGAGGCTGGGCAAAGAGCATCTGTTCCCTCCATTCTCCTAGCTCCATCGGCTGCCAACCTAGGGCCATCGCCTGCCTCCATCACCCCTTCGCCTGCCTGCCCACCACCCAATCCCAAATGGGTACTGGATCAGGTGCCGAAATCTGGCTGCCTCCTCGGGTACCAGTCACTGCATTGCTGTGTGTCTGCCCACCGCTGCCTGGCACTCATGGGGCCGTGTGTGTATGTGTTTGTGTGCGCGCGTGTGTCCATGTACGCATACGCGTGTGTTGTACGTGGGCCTCCTGGGCGTGGGTGGGGGTTGGCATTGCGGTTGCCACTGTAGCACCCAACTAGAAGGACAGAGGGATGGAGTGGAAGAGGGAGGGGAGAGGTGTGGGGCCTTGGAGGGGAGGAGAGGGTGCATGAGTTGCTTCATGCTGTTTGATTGCAGGCATGGGCACGGCAGCTGCCACCCCTGTGCCCATGGAGATGGGAGGGGACGACTGGAGGGGCAGCGACAGGAGTCCTTGTGCTCTGGGAGGAAGGTGCGGCACACAAGAGCTGTTGGCATCACAAGTGTTGGGCTCGTGCCCAGGTCTGGAGTTATGGGGACTAGAGGGACAAGGAGGTAGAGAGGGGGTGTGCTGCTGATGCCGCTGTCCCTCTAGGGTGATCTCTGAGAAGTGTCTGGAGTAGGAAGGAGTTATCTCTGTTCCAGTCTGGGGCGTGAAGAGAGTCGATGGGGAGGCGCCAAGGAAGAATGGAAGAGGGAGGAGGAGGGACTGTGCCACTACTACCCAGGGAGAACCTCTTTGGGCTGCCAGTGTGGCCTCTTAAGAGAACACCGAGGAAGGACAGCAGGAGAACTGGGCTGCGAGGGAAGCTGGCACTGCCCGAGGAGCCTGGCATGGCTCTGGTGTTGTGTAGACTGGGGAGGGTGACGGTGCCCCTCTAATTGGGTAAAGGAGGTTGTTGTGCCAGGAGTTAGGTGGTGAGATGAAGGATGTTTTCTTTGGGAGAATAGACTTTTCTGCCAGGTCCTCCTTCCCATTCCCTCTTAGACGTGGAGAGCTGAATGACAGACGGAGTGCCGCATGAGGACACAATGGAGGGAGCGTGCCATCGCTAAGACCCCAAGGAAGAAGCGTGTTGAGCCCCGACAGTCGTGCTGGCCTCCAGTCATCTCCCCGCCGAAGATGGCCGTATCCTCTAGCCTGGTCTGTATGTACCACGATTGCAGGTGCTGAAGGGGGGCGGGGTTGCATGGGCAGCTGGGCTGTGGAGTGGCGAGGGTACCTTTGCGTGGATCCCATTTGTACCGTCCACTCTTAGAAGTGTGGCTGGATTTTCTTCCTGGTGCCTCCCTCTTTGCTTCCTCTCCCTTTCATCATCACCATCTGGGTCCCACTGCTTGGCACCCAACCAAGTCGATGCCGCCACAATTGGCAGTATTGCACTGGCATGTGACCAGTGACTCAGATTCTGGCACTGCGGCAAACCGAAAGCCGCCAAAGTTGCTCAGGATAACCACTTGGCGACCATGAGGGAGAGGGCTCATGTGCACAGGAGTGCAGGCTGGGTGGAGCTCCATGCTGGGAAGTGGCCCACCAGGCTGCCCTTCGCAGATGGACTGAAGCCAGCATTCCCTACAGCCTTTCGCCTCTGCTGGTCTCCGAACTGGACACTCATCTCTTTCCACCTTCACTAGCCCCAGTAAGGGGATTTAGATGGCACTATACTGTTTCTGAGCAAAGGAATCCGGAGCATAGAGAGACAGGACATCATCTACAGCCACACCTGAAGCCAGTGGCTGTGGGCTTCTCTGGGCAGCTAGGACAGGAAAAAAAAATCGCAGGGTGAAAAGGCCTGGGGGGAGACTTAACAGCTGTGCTGTTACTCAGACATACCGAAAAGAGTAGAAGGAGACCCTCCCTCCGGCTTTCCTATTAGGGAGTAGCTGGGTTTTACATGTGAATTTCCTGCTGGCTTGTGGTTGAGATGAACTAGTCCCTTGTTAAAATGTCCCTAGAAGGATGAGAGGCACTCCGGAACTGGAGAGGTGTGGTGTAGGGAAGACAATGGTACCTGGGACTTCTACAGAGACTAAGATTTTACATTTAGGGATTTCCTAATGGTACCCCAGATAGGACCAGACTAGTTTCTGTCTTTGAAATCTCCTCTTGGAAGGAGGACAAGGTCCAACAATGACTATGATAGAGAAGATGCTTTGAAGGACAATCTCCAGTACCTGTGGTGACATACACCAGCCCCTGAAAATCTTAACCTTAAGATGCCCTCTGCAAGAGTCTTCAGTAGCACTGGATTTCTCTAATTCCTGGGTAGGCAGAGGCTGTAGGCCATCAGTCCGGAAGATCTGGAGAAAAATGCAGCTTTGGGTAAAGTTAAAGGGGAGACTAGATGGCTCTCAGCGTTAAGGCCTGCTCATGGGAAGTAAGCGGAGGTGGGGGCGTGGGGGGAGGTGTTGCCCATGCTGGGCAGAGCTGCGCTGGGCTGGGGGAGTTCTGATTTTAACATCTCTGGAAGTGGATGGCAGCTTCAGAAGAAGCAAGGTTTCCACAGGAGAAGAGAAAGCAGGAGGTCTTCAGTCAACACGGTAAGTGGATAGTGGTTAAAAATTGTTTTCTGCTTTTAGAGAGAAAGCCACTATAAGCACATGATACCATCAGATTCTAGTAGATTGCAAGGTTGAAGGTGTTTGTCAAGGTAACGAAAATGGTACATCTAAGGAGAAAAAAATAGAATTGGGTAGAGCTTAGTGGTAGTGCACTTGCCTAGCATGTGCGAGGTCTTGGGTTCAATCCCTGGCACTAAAGGGGAAAAAAAAGCCTGAAGTGATGCTAGTCACTGTGTGGGAGCCTCTGTGCAGCAGAGTTGTTCTGGGGACTGGAGAGCTGGGACAGGTCACAGATGTACATGTGAGGCTGAGCTCTCTAGGACAGTAGCTCTTAGCCAACAGCATAGATCATTTCAGCAGGAGTTTCTGATTCACTTGGTGAGTACTGCCGTTCAGAAATACATTTAATCATTATTTGTGGTACTAGGAAATGAACCCAGGACTTGTGCATGGTAGACAAACACTCTATCATTGAGTTACGCCCCCTTTTTGCTTTTTATTTTGAGATGGGGTCTTGCTAAGTTCAAGGCTGGCCTTGAACAAACTCTAGTCCAGGCTATCTTGAATATGTGAACCTCCTGCCTCAGCCACTCTCAAAGCCAGCATTACAGGCTTGTACCCCTAGACTTATCTTAGGACATATTTTAAACAAACACTTAGGTAACCATGATGTAGGTGGACAAACTTTGGGACAGACTGTTCCGCGAGGTGGCATTCCTCTTGGAGGGCGGTCCGTCTCATCTGAACTTTCTTTGTCTTTGTATCTGTTTTATCTTGACCACCTTTCATGTCAAACCAATGATATATATGGTGTGGGGTGTATGTATGTTTATGCTGAGTGAGGGTAATGGGGGTACTGGTAAATGGGGGGAGTTGTGAGGTCCACTTAGGACATGTAACTTATTAGAGCATTGATTGCAATTGGCAGTAGTTATCACAGAAGACCCCCCACACACACACACCCCTTGATAACACTTTCAAAGTCCCACTTCCTTTTCCTCCCAGTTCCTATTGCTGGCTGCCACGTGTTTCCGAAATCTTCCCATGGAGAACCATGAGACTAGGAGCATTGTTTGATGTCCTCTGTGTCCCTGTGAGATCTGCATGGATTTTGTGGTGAGAGGGGGAGAGAGATCCTGTCTTTTGGAGACCTGGGTTGTGAAGTAGCAGTGTACAGGGCTGGGCCCAGGGCAGTATTGGCAAATGGCCACAACTTACAGATATTACCACGGCTGCTGCTCGAGTCATTTGATGGGGTGTGTCCAGTGTGGGCGTTCTCCAAGTTCAGTGAAGATGTTGTGCAGGATTTGCTATTGTTATAGAAGGTCCGCAGATTTACAGATGTGGGCAGCAGTGAGCTCTAGTTGACGACCCATTGCTGGGTGTTAGCCATCGGGCAGACTACGCATGGCTGGATAAGGCTGTGTTGCTTCCCCCACTCTCCTTGACAGGTTCAGCCTCGTTTTGTTCTCCTTATAATCACTCAGCCTGCTTCTCCACTAACTTCTAGCCAGACACCTCTGTCACTGGGGGATTGCCAGAAACCCGTGTCATACTGTCAGGGAATAATGCTATCTACTCTAATTTCTGTTTGTGTTTTGGTTAGAGAATTAGCTGGGTCCTTCTATATCAAGGAGAGTCACAGGGTGGTCACACAATCGGGTCACCTAGTTTTGTCACTCGATGTTTTGGGGAAATGTAGTGTCTTCACAGGCACAGGCCTGTGACCTCAGCTGCACAGGGGGCTGAGGCAGGAGGATCAGGAGCTTAAGAGCTGATTGAGCTAGAGAGCAAATTCAGACCGTCTCAAAAGAATGAATTTATTAAAATTTTTTAAAAAAAAAGAAAAAAGGGAGTCAGTTGTGCTTGCCTGTAATTCCAGCAATTAGGACATGGAGGCCAGAAGACCCAGAGTTCAAGGTCATCCTGAGCTACACAGAGAGTTAAGTCTAGCTTAGGCTACATGAGACCCTGTGTTAAAAAAGAAGAAGCAGCAGGGGTGTCGGTGTGCTGAATGGGGGCTGTGGTTTAGTGGAAGGGCTCCTGCTTAATGTTCCTGGGGCCCTGGATTTGATCCCCAGTGCCACACAAGTTGTAGGCTCTTCCAAGAGGAGTGTTCTCTCAATGTTGCTTGTCTCTTCTTCAAACTTAACAGACCTTGGTCTAGCCTTCCCTAAACGTCCTCTCTCAGAGTTTCATTCCGTCGTTTCGTAATGTTTCCATGCTCCACTCCTGTAGGCTCTCCTGCTCGGTCTACTGCCCTTATTTGGTGGTAACTGCGGCCATGGTCTTTCTTCCTAATTCAGTCTCCTAGTCTGACTAGTTTCTGAGATGTGTCCCCTGACTTCTCAATACCAGGCCTTCCTGTAACAGAGTCCCAGCCCGGTCCACCCAGTTTCAGGCTGATATGAAAGTTTTGACTCAATCATTTACAGCCTTTCCTTTATGAGTTAATTGTGTTCAACACTAGCGGACACTGGTCACATTTTCCTGAGACTTGTTGTATTTGTGAGCTTTCTCTGTCTCCATTCACACGAGGATAATTAGCACATGTGAAGTGTTTACAGGCAAGTGCCCTTCCGCTAACCTACAACTTCAATTCCTAGAAGGTACTGCTTCTTAAGGGTGTGAAGGTTATCTCAGGGCATGTTCTCAGGCAAGTGTAAGCCTGTGTGTGTGTGTGCGTGCATGCGTGCGTGCGTGCGTGCGTGCGTATTCATCTCCCTGCAGACCTCTTGGCTGGGGTCTGCTGTTCCTTCTGAGAATGGATTTGTTTTGTTTGTGGGGTGCTATACACAGAACTCTGTTTCTATTCATATGTAAATGGTTATTATTTTGGTTTTTATGAGACAGAGGCTCATTGTATAGCCCTGATTGGCCTGGAATCCTATCTGTAGACCAGGCTGGCCTTGAGCTTCCAGAGATCCGTCTGCCTCTGCCTCCCGAGTGCTGGGACTAAAGGCGTCCACCACCATGGCCAGTCTCATATGTGAATGTTTTTATAGCGATGAATGCCTAGATGAGCAAACGTCTTGAAATAGCAGGGTGATGAGAACTTGGAGATCTTGTCTGACACTAAGTAATAGAAAGAAAGCAGTAGCTCGGTCTATTATGCTTAGAATAATTGGCTTTCTTGGTTCTTCTGCAAGCTTCTGTAAGTTTACCCGAGGGCCGGAGGTTTGGGGTAAGAACCGGTTTGTCCTACTGTGTATCTGCCCTATCTGGCTACTAAGGCTTCAGATTTCTCTCACGTTCTCCCAGCCAACTTTGATTTTTCTTCTTCCTTGTTGAGGACTGAGTACCTTGTGATCCTCTCACAAGGTTTAGAGCAAAGACAGGCAAGATGATTTGCACTTCCTGCCTCCCAGCAATGACCCTGGAGTGAGACAGGACCTGGATTTGGGTGTTTCTTTAGGGTTGTGTATGTAAGGAATCCCAAAGAAGCCACGGTGGACCCATATAATGAGGTCCTAGTTCACGCTTGCTTAACAGACAGGCCGAAGCATTTGTAGGTGTTACCGTGCCTGCCTTTCGTCTGTTATTCCATAAGATCCTGCTGACTTGATGCTCACCTCTAGGATTCTTC